GGCTGGGCAGGGGCTGTCCCAGCTCCAGTGCTGCTGGCAGCCCCTCAGGATGGAGCAGCCTGGAGCGTTTGCCCTGGATGAGTTTTCCTGGGGGGCTCAGCACGCAGCCCCTCCACCGCTCCCGTTGCCTTTCAGGGTCAGATGTCCCGCTCCTCACGACCTCCTCACCCCACCAGGGACAAGGTCCAGCTGACAGCTTTATATTGTTTTTGATTAGCAAATTCTGGAATTAGAAGCCATGCTCTATGATGCCCTGCAGCAAGAAGCTGGAGCCAAAATTTCCGAACTTCTTTCAGAAGAGGAGAAGGAGAAGCTGAAGGGCGCCGTGGAGCAGTGGAAGCGGCAGGTGATGAGCGAGCTGCGGGAGAGGGACGCCCAAATCCTGCGGGAAAGGATGGAGCTCATCCAGCACGCCCAGCAGGTGGGTGTGGGCCAGGGCACTCGGGAGGGACGAGGGGCGGCCCTGGGGGCTGTCCCGAGCTGGCCAGGCCCTGGATGACCCTGCACACAGGGCAGCGTGCTGTCCCTGGCCTTGTCACACACGGTGACCATCACTGAGCACTGGCCCGCAGCCTAACACCAATTCAGTTTTGGTAGAAGCACAGCACATACAATTTCTATCCCCCAAACTAATGCATCTTCCGGGTACATCTGTATTTGGTTGGTTAATAAATATTTTTTTATTTGAAATCTGACAGAGAATTAAAGAGCTAGAAGAAAGAATTGAAGGCCAAAAAAGACAAATAAAAGAGTTAGAGGAAAAGGTAAGGTCATGCAGACGGAACAGCTGCTGTGTGTGCACATGACCATTCTCCATTTCACCTGGGCCGAGGAAACCTCCTTAGAGAGAGCTCGTGTGTGTAGTGCTGTGAGAGAGGGGGACAGCTCCAGGAAAACAGCTGCATTTGCTCCAGTCCCACTGAGGAGGGGGTGAACTGCTTGAGCTGAGTCCTTCCTGCCCTCTGCCCTTCGGGGCAGCCTGAAACTGGGCAGGGATGGGGCCACGGCCCTGGAAGGGGCAGAGCTGAGGGCTCGGGCAGCAGAGCTCTGGGAAGGGGCTGTTCTCCCTGCTTCCCCCCTGTCCCAGCCCCTGGAAAGGCAGAGCATGGAGCAGCTTTCCCAGCAGGAGCAAGGGGCTTTGCTCTCCTCCCTCGCCTGCCCACGGCTCTTGTCACGGAGCGCTCTGCAGCCACCCAGAACTGCTGTGTTCTACCCCAGAACGGCCTCAGCTGAGCCTCCCCATCCACTGAGCCTCCAGGGGTGGCCAGGCTCAGGCACGGCAGGGCTGAGCTGGGCCAGCACCCGAGATGGAGCCCCGAGCTCAGCAGGGGCTCGGGGTGCTGGGGGTGCAGAGGAGCTCAGCTGATGCTCCCCGTCCCCCAGCCCGTGGCTGTGCCTGGCTGGGCTCACAGGGCAGGGGGCTGCTGTCACCAGCCCAGGGGACACGGGCGCTCTCGTGAGCCCAGCTGAGCCCCGAGCACCCCGACTTCACTCCACACTCCATATTCCTGCTCACGTGAGGGTTTTGTTGTGCTCTGTCTGTAACCACAGCTTGTTTCTCAGTCAAACACACTGTCAACTCTTAATCTCTTTCTTCTCTTCCATTTTTTCCTCTCTTCTCTCCCCTTTTCAGTTTTTATTTTTGTTTTTATTTTTCTCTTTAGCTTTCATTCTTTGGTCATAGTCCTTCAGGCCACATGCACAAGGTAAGCCCTCGGGTTTCCTCTGCTCTCCTCTTCTCCTCCTGGAGCATCTCTGTTTTCACCTAGAGAAAAGAGCGTTCCTTTTGCTGTGTCAGCAGGACTGAAGGGTCTCTTGGGCATGCCAGAGAACCCAAAAATGGAAATCTCCAAATCCTTTAAAAAACAGCAGGCAGAAACTTGTCAAACAGAATTTCGTTCTTTAGAGGGAAGGACAAGGAAAAATGAGGCAGGCTTAAAAGCAAGGAAACCTCTGGCAAGCCAGGGAGACCCCCAGCCTGGGGTGACTTCTCTGGTGCCTCGGGGGCAGCTCCAGCTGCTCTGTGCTGGAGTCCATGGAAACCCTCAGCCCTGTCCCTGCCCAGCCAGAGAGCCTGTCCTGCCTCCAGGACAGCAGCCAGGTGGGTTTGGGCCAGCACAGCATTTAGTGGGGTCTGTTCCTCCAGGCATTGTGCCCAGGGACTCCCTGAATCCCCCTTTTCCATGCAAAAAGTGGATGAATTGTGTGTGTGCTGTCTGTGTGTGCTGCCAGAAATGACCACAGCAGGGATGGCATGGAGGGAAACACTCCCCCACTAACAGCATAAATGGAATCTGTCACAAATCCTTTTTTATCCGTTGTACAGTTCAGCAGATCATTGTAAAGAGAAGTTTTGTGAACACTCTTCTTGCCCGGGTGGGCTTTCCTTTGATTGCTGTTTTCCTCTCGTGTTTCAGCCCCCTGAGGCCGCTGCAGCTGCTCCTGCTGTCCTTGCCGGAGGGACAGCCCTGCTCCCCGAGCCCCTGGCAGAGACTTTGCCCTCCCCAGCCCCGGGTCTGCCCGGCTCCCTGCTGCTGGCCATGGCAGGGGCATGGGGCACCTCCAGCGGGGCTGAGCCGGGCTGGGAGGGGGTCCCGAGAGCCCCGAGGAGCCTTTGGAGGGGACAGAACTGAGAGAGAGAGAGAGAAAAGCTGCTGCTGTCCTGCTGCAGCCCTGAGAGCCCAAAGAAGCCTTTGGAGGGGACAGAACTGAGCATCAGAGAGAGAGCAAAGCTCTGCTGCTGTCCCGAGAGCCCCGAGGAGCCTTCGGAGGGGACAGGACTGAGAGAGAGAGCAAAGCTCTGCTGCTGCCCTGCTGCAGCCCTGAGGAGCCTTTGCAGGACAGGACTGAGTGACAGAAAGGCAGAAGCTGCTCCTGCCCTGCTGCAGCCCAGCTCTGCCTGCAGCTCCTCACTGATTCGGACACTCTGGGTTGGTCCTGGTTCCCTGCCCAGCAAATCTCTTCTCTAGAAGTGCCCGTGTCCTGTTCCTGTGCCACACATCGTGCTCGTTCCACAGTTCTGCAAATTCTGTCTCCAAAGAGGATTTTAGGAAACATTCCAGAGGAGTAGCTCGTGAAAAGATGGATGGGAGTGAAAATGAAGGGGTTTGTTCCAAGGTATTTCTTCGTTGCACAGGGTGTGTCCTGTGCTTTGTTGAATATCCCACAAGCCCGGTTTTAGGAAAAGCATAAAACTACATTCAGGAAATCAAGCTGTAATTTCTTTTTTTGAGTTGTCAGTAAACCATGATGAGAAAAATTATGCAATCATTTGTAATTGGCTGTCCCTGAACAATGACACAAAGGCTTAACACTGTCCCAGCAAAACGTTCAACCTGGAAAAGAGTGAAGTAAACCAGATGATGCCTGATCCACATGCAGGGGACTGGGAGAGCAGCAAGAGGGAGCAGAAGGTGGCACCTGGAAGATGCCCTCACCTTGGGGAAAGGGAGCACAAGTCCCACAGAGCCGAGCCCGCAAGGGAAAAGAATCCTCCAGAAACACGGGTGAAGAGGGGCAAATCCAGAAGAAATTCCAGAGTGTGACTGACCACATTGCATCCACAGCCAAGCACAGAAATGCAGGGCTGAGAGGCAAAGCCAGGGAAGAGGAACAAGGCCAGGACCAAGACCAGGGATGAGGACCAAGACCAGGGATGAGAAACAAGACCAGGGATGAGAAACAAGACCAGGGATGAGGAACAAGACCAGGGATGAGGAACAAGACCAGGGATGAGGACCAAGGCCAGGAGCGAGGTCCTGCTGGCAGCCAGGGTCCCATGGTGCCCATTCCCTGGGAGCACGGGCAGGAAGGGATCAGAGCTCTGGGCAGGTAAGATGGGCTGACCACCTGGAAACCCCTTAAAAAGACATGTTTTAAATGCAGGAGATGAAAATATTTTTCATTTTGCATAGAAAAGACAAATAGTAATTGGAAAAGTATTTTAATTCACAATTTCCCTCACTTTTTTTTCAAATTTGTGCTGATAAGGAGTTACTTGGCAGATAAACATGATGGGGAGAGCAGCAGAGAAAGCTGCAGTTGCACAGATTTAATGGAAGAGTTATTTACCAAATAACACTTTGTACCAAATAACACATTATTTGCCAAATTTATGTTTTAATTAGGCATCAAACTGTAATTGCCTATGAGATGAAGTTCTCCTGTGGGCAGTGCCCAGGCAGGGGTGGTGGGCACGGGGGTGCCCCTCAGCAGAGACCCCATCAGCGGGCACCCAGTGCAGGGCACTGCAGCCAGAGGGAGCTGGGAGCTGTGTGCCCTGCAGGAGCAGAATTCTGCTTCACAGCCCATTTGATTCTCTGAAGCAGGTCTAGGGTAGTATTGGAGTTATTTTTTAGTGCCTCTTTAACTTTGGATGGTATTGGAGTTATTTTTTAGTGCCTCTTTAACTTTGGATGATATTGGAGTTATTTTTTAGTGTCTCTCTAACTTTGAATGGTATTGGAGTTATTTTTTAGTGTCTCTTTAGCTTTGGAGACTGGAGGCTCACAGGGATGGGTAGCACTTGCCTGTGTCCAGATAAATAAGTTGTCAGTTACCTAAGATAAATTGTTATTCAATATTAACTCTTACATTTGTAGAAGAGGCTTGAGTGTCCGTATTTTTGCTCTGATTATCTTAATTTAGTCAAACCCCCCAGCATTTATTATAGCTCCACTTGATATTTGTTCATTCAAAGGAAACAACACATGGAATGTGCTGGAACAAGTAATATTAATTATTGTTTTCAATTTTCCAGTGATAGAAGGATGGGGAATGCACCATGGCAGAGGGCCGGAGCTACATGATCTCTGCAGTCCCTTCCTGCCCCAGCCAGTCTGTATCCAGGATTCTAAAAGCAGCTTGCTGTGTTTAAGTGGTGTCTGTGGAGCTGAGCCTGCCCTGGGGCCATGGGGAGATCCTCTCCCCCAAAATGCCAGCAATGGTCACCAGCAGCAAGCCAGTTTTAGGTTCACGGTGGGCCCACCTATTTTCAGATCCTCCTCTAACCCTTGTATTTCTTACAACTGTGTCAATTCTCTTTAGAGATGGCCTTTAATATTTTTAATTAAGAATACATAATGTATTTCCTACTGTAGGCAGCAATTAGAAATACCAGTTTCAGAAATACCAGTTTCAGGATGGTTTTATTTAACCACAGATGGGGACATTTCCCGAGAGGAACCTCCTTCACCACCAGAGCAGGACCTGTCCCTGCGAGCCTCTCTGTTTTGTAGATAATTCCTGTTCTTTACATGACTTTGCACTCTGATCAGTTGAGCAGCAGGGAAATTGTTCTGTAGTCCCACTGACAGCAGAGCAGGGGTGTTGGGGTTTTGGGGTTTTCTTTCCTTTCAGAGGGATTGGCAGGGGAGTGGGGAGCTGCTGGAGCTGGAGCTGGCAGCCCTGTGTGTGCCCAGCCCCTCTGGAAATGAATTCCTCCCCAGGGCACCACCAGCCCCTCTGGAAATGAATTCCTTCCCGGAGCACCACCAGCCCCTCTGGAAATGAATTCCTCCCCAGGGCACCACCAGCCCCACCTCAGAATGCCAGCGGGCGAGCCTGCGTGCAGGGTGACCCCACACCCGTGTCTGAATGAAGTGTGGGGAAGTTCAGGCTGCCAAGGAGACCCCACTGAGCAAAGCCTTCCTGGGCAGGCACGGAGGCGTTGACTCAGAAGCTGTTTTTCCTTTTTGTGCTCTAAACCTCGTGGGTTCTCTCTCGGGGAGGGCAGGGCTGCTCAGCAGTGAAGAAGAGATTTCCAGTGGTTAGCAGCTGTCAGTTTGTGTAAAAGCAGGGGGTGTCTCCTTGCACGGCGTTTCTGCTCCGCTGTCCCGGGGGCTGCTGCAGACTGAAATGCACAGAAATGACAATGTCAGTCTGAATTTGGGGCTGAGGCGGAGGAGATGGAGGCCCTGGGGCAGGAGAGCGTGGCTGGTGCTGCAGGAGGCTCCAGCCAGGTCTGGGCATGGCTGGGAGCTCCTCATCCCAGACATCTCTGCTTGCAGAGGCTGCTCCTCCATGGTTCTGCCAAATCCCACGGGAAAACATTCCACACAGACCAGCTGGGACTTTCCTTCTAAGCAGAACATCTGCTTTATTACAGCAGGAACTTTGGGTTCTGCTTCCCAGCACATTCCGAGGGCAGGACGGGCACCAGCCTTTCATTCATCCTCTCTAGAACTAAAACCTCCCACTCCTGCGTGGCTGTAGGGGGGCACACACAGCACAGAGCCCCAGAATGGTTTGGGCTGGAAGGGACTTGCAAGGTCATCTCTGGATGGGCAAGGACACCTCCCACTACCCCAGCCTGCTCCAAGCCCCATCCAGTCTCCCCTTGAATCATCTCCATGTTCCTCTTTCTGTGGGAAGTAGAGAAGAGCTTTTTGGAATGTGAATTTGTGCAGCAGGAGCAATTTCGTGTCCTGGGTGCTTCCCCCTCAAAACCCCAGTGCCTTCCCTCCTGAACTTGCTCTCAAAGAAAACTCCTAGCTGTACAGACTGGCAGGGTAAAAGCCTGCTTCACCAAGCTGGTTTTAAAGATAATCATTCATTTCAGCTTTCCTTCCCCAAAGCACTGCTGGGCAGAGCAGCTTCAATTGTCATCACAGCTGAAGGGCTCTCCCCCTTCATTTGGGTCTTGCTGAGCTCTTGCAAATAATAATAAGGGTACTGATTTTTGTAGTTTACCAAACTCATCGTTAGCCTGAAGAACTATTCATCTGGAAAATATAGCATAAAGTTATTTTTTTTTAACAGAATGCATTCTGTTTGTAAATGATGTTTGTGCAAACAGCCTGTCGTGGAGGCGTTGGGGTGCCCAGTGATGTCTGCACTTCCAGGGCAGCAGAAATCCCAGAGAAAGCTCCCCGGGAAAGGAGAACGTGTCCAAGTCACTAAGGCTGTGGAGGCCTCATGCAGATCGGCAGAGGCAGGCGGGCAGACGCTGCTCTGTCCATGGTTTTTCCTGCAGAGAACAGCCCCGGGGCACTTTGCTCCTCCTTACAAACAAGGATGCTGTGAGCAGCCCGGGACACAGCAAACGGGGGTGCAGAGTCGGGATTGGCACCACAAGGATGCTGTGAGTGCCCCGGGACACAGCAAAGGGGGGTGCAGGGTCGGGATTGGCACTGCTGTCACAGCACCGAGAGGGTCCTGGAAGGGGACTGTGAAATACTGACATTGTCACTTAAAGCCACGTTTCTCGCTGTCTTAAATGCGGGGAGGATTCTAAGGGCTGTGAGTTGATGGAACGCCAGCTCCGGGAGGGCTCTCTGAGGCTGCTGCCCAGAGCCACGGTGGTGGTGCAGGATGTGCCAGCAGGATGTGCCAGCAGGATGTGCCAGGGCATGGAGCAGTGTCACCCAGAGCCCCGCGCTCCTGCAGGTGTCATCAGGGCTGGGTCCCCCGGTGTCTTTCCCGGGGCAGGTGGGGGAGGCCGAGGTGCCAGCCCGCATTTCCTGCCTCAGCTCCGCCTGCCCGGCTGACCGGGCACTGCCCGGCTGAGCTGATCCCTCTGAGCTGTGCCTGACCTGTCCCTGCTGAGCTGTCCCTGAGCTGTCCCTGCCCTGCCCCTGAACCATCCCTGAGCTGTCCCTGACCTGTCCCTGACCTGTCCCTGCTGAACTGATCCCACTGAACTGTCACTGAGCTGTCCCTGACCTGTCCCTTTACCATCCCTGAGCTGTCCCTGAACTGTCCCTGACCTGTCCATGACCTGTCCCTGCTGAACTGATCCCACTGACCTGACCCTGAGCTGTCCCTGAGCTGTCCCTGATCTGTCCCTGCTGAGCTGTTCCTGAGCTGTCCCTGAACTGTCCCTGAGCTGTCCCTGAACTGTCACTGAGCTGTCCCTGCTGAACTGATCCCACTGAACTGTCCCTGCTGAGCAGTCCCTGAGCTGAGAATGGGGGATGGAGAAGGGACAGGGAACAGGGGATGGAGAAGGGACAGGGAATGGGGGATTCTCTCCTTTCTAGCCATTGGCTGGGCTCTTCTGCTTCCCACGTGTGTTTCCCAGTATCCCTGTCCGGCTGGCGCTGCTCTCGTGGCTGGGTGTGAAATGGGAACAGGACACAGCACAAGGAGGGGGCACGGGAAGGGTCAGGGCAGCTGCAGCAGCCCCCTCCCACCTACGGGCACCACGTCCTTTGTGCCACCTCTCCTCCCCTGGGGAGGTGGAATTTGGCTCTGTGGTTATTAACTCGTCCTCTCAAGAGTTTGTCAGATGAGGCAAATTTTAAATTTATCTTTCGTCACAATCATCACCATATTCTGAGTGTTACCCAAAACTTTTAGGGGAAATTAATTATTTGATGTGCGGCAAAGCCTGGAGAAAGCAGTACTTTTAATATTTTATAAATTATCTCTTTTTTTCAGGGAAAAAAACAGTAACTGGCAAAGCCTACTCCAACTTAGACTTAACTGAGAGCTGCCTAACGCAACCCAGCACAACCTATGGAATGGAAATGTAGATTTTGGGATTAAAAATACCATGCAGAGGAGAGGGCCAAAGCTGTGGTTAAACCTTGTGTTTATTTTATCCTGTAGGTACCTGCACCACTGGAGTTTGTAAAGCTATGGAGAAAACCCTTTGATACTGAAATTCTTCAACCTCTTCCTGCACTTGTACATCGACCACGTTTTAACCCAGCGCAGGGAGCTCGGCTGCAGAAACAGAAGGAAGGGAGCTGGTCAGAGAAGTGCAGTATTTGAACCAAAGGGATGTGACGTTTTAAGGCCAAGGTTGTGGATTTTGATATCAGCGTGTGAGTCTATCATGGAATTGATTTAACAAGCTCTGATTCTACCAATACCAGTGCTGGGATTCTGGGATGAGCTGCATTTTTACTTCTGCCTAAAACCGGGTTCATTTGGAGTTCTACTGAAATACTTCATGTCTTAAAGTGCTGTATTCCCTGGAAGCCCTGCAGTGGTGGTTGAGGTGACAAAGGGCACGTTAGGAAGTGGCTTGAGTCCATCTCATGGCTCTGCATTCAGGACCTGCTCTTGCCTGGTGTGTTGGTGTGCCTCAAACACCGCTTCTGTTCTCGGATTAACGTCCTTGATCCTGGGGGTTTTAAGTACAAAGCCACTTGTACAGGACAGGTCCGTGTGTAAATAAGGGATTCTGCTTACCTATATGTCACTATAAATATATATCAAGTTTTGTACATAGGAAAGAAAAAAATAGCTCAAAGAATGTTTTCAGAACTGTGTCCTCCATTTAAATGCACAGACAGGAGATTGCCACCCATGTGCTGCCTCCCTCTCCGGGAAGGGATCCCGCTCCTTCCGCTCCTGCGCGCGGCCCACCAGGCTCTGTGTGAGTTTTTTGGTAGCCCAGAGCAGGGTTGGGCTCTGTGAGGAGTTTTTTGGTAGCCCAGGGCCAGGCTGGGCTCTGTGTAAGGAGTTTCTTGGTAGCCCGGAGCAGGGCTGGGCTCTGTGTGAGTTTTTTGGTAACCCGGAGCAGGGCTGGTTCTGCCCCAAACCCGCCGCCGTGTGTGCGACAGGAGCAGATTTCTCGTTCCAGCTGGGGAGGATGTGGCTGTTTTTTCCAGTATTCTGCTCTATATCTGTAGCCTTCAGTGATTCCTTGAGTGCCTTACATGGCTTGTGGACAGAATTCCTGACCAGGAGTTGAAAACGCCCCTGCACCGAGTCCGGCTCCTTCGCACCGCTGTGCCCCTCGCCCCTCGCCGGCAGCGTGCACAGGAACAGATTTAGCTTCGACTCAGGAAATCGCCGTGTGAATATGTGTATTAAACCCTGTATCATGTGCTGTACAGTTTATAAAAAGGGACTATTGTAAACTTATGCAAAACGTAACAGAGAAAATGGAGGTTTAGGTCCACTGGCTGGCGTGCCATGACCCGTGTCCTCTAATCCTACTCCAGAATCATATCCAAAATACGGAACGTTGGGTTCAGTGCTGCGACAGCAACCGCCAGCCCGAAAACGGGCGGGAGCGATCGACTAGAGAATTTTACAGATATTTTTGTATTGTGATTCCTATGATATATATTGAGAGACTTTCTATTCCTTTGTAAAATACATAAATGATTGTCAATTTTAATTAAAAAGATCTGTTTTAAACCTTCAAATCCGATGAACTGGCTTGGGGCTGAGGGGATGGGGAAGCTGGGCTGTGGCACCGGCCCCCCTGGGGGACCGGGAGATGCCCGGGAGGGCTCGAGAGGGGGGCGTTCACCCGGTGGCCGCGGCAGCCAACCCCGCGCTGTCTCTGCCACCGCAGACGCCGGGAGATGTCACCTCCCGGTCGTACGCGGGGACGGGCACGGGTGGATGGGCACCGGGAGGGGCGGGGGTCCTTGGGCGGCTCTTAACGCGGCGCTGGGCTCTCCTCCCGGGGAGGCGAGGGAGCGCAGCGGCGGCGCGGGTGCGGGCCATGGCGGGGCGGCCGGAGGCGGCTCTGCCCGCCTGCTTCGCGGGGCTGGGCGCGGGCAGCCCGCGGCCGCGGCAGAAGCGCGGCGGGATGTTCTGCAGCGTGGAGGATGCCTTCGACAACAAGACGCTGAACTTCGCCTCGCTCGCCGCCTCCGGAACAGCAACACCCGTCGGGGGGCACCGCCGCGACACCCAGCCGGGACCGAGCCCCGAAGCGGGACCGAGCCCCGGCCCCGGCCCCGAGCCCG